CATTAAATAATCATTTGATGATTTTACTAAATGGACCTGAAATTGAAGACTTTAATTTTGAGAAAGCATGTGAATATCGGGAAGATAAAAAAAATAGGAGAATTAATTCATAGAACTATTTTATTTAAAAATTTTCTTGTGATCATATGTGCACAAAATTTTTTTTGCAGAACATAAGATCGACGAATTTCCAACACTGTTTATGATTAACCCCAATCACGCAAATTTAATTCCTTAGGTGGTGACAATCACCACCGGTGAGAAATAGCAATTCTCTTAAAAATAATATTTAATAATATCGTTATTTTGAAAATTTTTTTGATTTTTACTGATTTATATTGGACATTTTATTTATTTATAATCAATAATGGTAAAATATTCCACAATTATTTATACCAAGGTATTTATTAATAATTTTATTAACTGAATAATTGATTATTTAATAAATTAATTGATTTTTAAATTTTTTTTTTATAGTATGATTATCAAGAATTCTATGAATGGTTTAAAAGATATTAAATATTTTGGCATCTTTACAGTAATTTCAAGTACAGAAGTTGATACATTGTTGATATTATCATCACAAATAGCAGTATTGAAGCCTTTTTTTCATCAAATCCTTTGTCATTGATATTTTGTGCAATTTTGTAAATTTTTTTATTGAAGATATACCACAGTTTATTATCCAGGTTGGTCATTTAAATTATAATTAATTCAACTCTTTTAACATTTTAAATAAAAAAAAAAGGATTCATTGACACTATTATTTTCTAAGGTTATCTATATAAACTCTACAATATCACATGACATAATTCCATCCTTAACTTTGATAACAAGTTCAATCACTATTGCCAATAATATTATTGCCAGATTATACAATCTAATTATTAACATTAAGAAAGACAAAAAGGCTTCATTGTCAACAGTTCTTATTGAAGATATTGATAAAGATAATTGATAGTAAAAATAATATAAGTACATTGATCAAAATCAAAAAAAGTTAAGATATCCTATCTAAAAAATTTATTTATTTATGACATTAAAATTTTTTTAATTTATTCCACAATCAATTCATGTCGATATTATTATTTATATTATACTACAGGTCTTGAAAAATTTAAGACAATTCAAATTCAATTGGAGCTTTTCTAGCATCCTTTAACTTGTTTTCAGTTTTTTTCAATGTTTTTTTAATGGACAGGCATATTCAGGTTCAGTATAGCACACTCAGTGTTGTGACCAGAAACTCTTTTGGCTTCCTGAACGTTTCGGAAAATGAACTTACACTAAGCAGAAAACTAAACCTAAACCTAAACATAAACATAAACTACTAACCTAAACTAGTTTCGGGTGGTTTCTGTTAGTTTCTGTTTCTGGTTTTCCCTAAACTCAGAGTTTCGGGTCACAACACTGAGCACACTTGATGCAATGGGTATAGTACAAACAGTAAATTATAACAGTTAGAACAGACAGTAAGTTCTGCACACACCAAATCCAAAAAGACATGCAAGTACAATTTATACATTATTATACAGTACTCTCTGCACAAAGTGTATTATACTCAATCTGTAATACTAATTCACATTTATTTTCCTCTCTTCATAATCAATTCTTGTGATGGGTGTTTGACTTTTTTAATTCTTTTATAACAATATAGCAACTATTCTTTGATGTCATATAATTGTCAGCATAACATTTTTATTACAGCTTTTACATTTTTGGACCTTAGATTATGAAAAAATGAATAAAATACATAAAAATTTTACCTTTATTAGGTAGGAAATGGAATAAATTTGATGTCGTTTTGCCTAAAGTTGATGATTTGGTTTTAGAGATTGTTCCAACGATTTGGCATTAGTTTATCCTAGTACTTGTAGTCCAGAATAATTTGGATCACAAATATTGTTTAGAAATAATTTGGATCTTTATATGAATAAACATAAAATAAACATGCTATTTTGTTTATTTTTGACTAGAGTCCAATAGTCTCATACACTGCCTGGAAGAAAGTATCGGAACCTCATTTTTTATTAATTACACAAAAACCTACATAATAAAATTTATATATAAATCCCACACTTCTATCATTCATATTTATTTTTTGGTTTAAAACTTCAATCAAATTCATGATTTTCATTTTTGGATATTTTTGAATTTGTATTTTCACAGAATTTTATTGTTATTTTGTAGTTTTAAGTTATTAAAGAGCAATAAAAAATTGATTAAGAAATTTGCTGCCTTTAATAAGAACAAAATTTGGTGGTAGAGCATACAAATTTCAGAATGACAATACACCAGTGCATACTGCAAAAAATGTGCAAAGTTGGATAAGAAATAACAACACAAACATTTTGTTTAATTGGCCATTGCAATCTCCTGATCTCAATCCAATTGTGCATCTTTGGGATGAGTTGGAAAGAATATTAAAAAACGTGAAATCCCAAAAATGCTCAAGAATCGGATATTGCTTTGCAAGAGGAATGGTCTATAACATTCCTGAAGAAGTTTATAACAAATTAATCCAAAGCATGACAAGAAGAATCGAGACATGTATATCCAATAATGGATGGCCAACAAAATACTAAATTTTGTTTCTATTTTTTAAAATTTTGAAGATTATTATTTTTTTTTATTTAATTGAAGTTTGTTTTTTTTTAGCCGAAAAATAAATATGAATAATAGAAGTGTGTGTTTTTATATAAATATTCTTCGAGACCTAAGCTATATGATGATATAAATTTTATTTATAATTATTGTGTAGGTTTTTGTATAATTAATAAATAATGAGGTTCCAATACTTTCTTCCAGGCAGTGTATATAATTTCAGCTAACATTCGTTGGAGAAATTTCAATCGTAATATTATTGATAGCAAAATAATATAGAAATTTTCGTCAGAATGACCAAAGAATGGGGTACTTATAAATAGCTTGTATGCTCTTATGGTCTTCTATCCTGTTTTTAATGTAACATAAACTCTACATGTTGTATCACAATTTTTATGTTGATGTCAACCAGAATAAAAGAAAGGATGATAATGGCATGACCATGCAAAAGCGAAACTTTAAAGAAAAAAAGATCTATGGAGTCCATTGAAATAAATTATCATAAGTAATTTTTTCCTTTCCAGTTGTATCCAATTCAAGTTATAGTATTCAAATCATTCACATAAACATTATATTGAGCTTAGGTATCAGATTTAATTGAATTATGATAAGGCTGCAATGTTTTTCCTAATGAACTGACTGCAGAATGATTCAGGACTAACCATAATGCAGTATCAGTAAAATTCCGCCTCTCCACATCCTAAATTTTCTGTCGCAGCACATTGATTGGAGCAATCTTTTTTTGAAAGTGAATTAATTAGAATATTTATAATCTAGAACAATTTTAATTTCATGGAATCAAATAAATACTGAATATTACGCAAGTCTTAATCATTTATTGATTTATTTCCTTTTAGGTAATTTGGTACATCAGCAGCAAAATAAATCAAAATCTGTTAGTGTTTATAAAAATTTGCCTAAACTAAATCTATATGCAAAAACCATTCTATCACATGACAATGAATAATTTTAAAATTTGCAGCATCCATCCAATCATGAATATTAAATACTTGAATAATTATTTTCAACAAGAAATAATAATATATATGAAACTCGAATGTCACTTTACCAATTACACCAAACATGTTGATGGTAGACTATCATTAGAAGTTTGGCCTCATTTTGCAAGAGGAAACGAAAAACTAAAGGCCATTACAAAGCAACTTGCAGATATTGCCATCAAACAAATGTGGAGTACATCGGAATTCACCAGCAAATAAATGTATTGAAGTTGGAAAAAATTTTTTGTGTATAGTAACAAAAACAAAAAATTCTAAAACATAGAGTATTTTGATAATATGAAACTTTCTGAGCAAAAAAAAAATCTCAGACATGGGTAAGGTTGTGGGTGAAACCTCTTAATGACTGTTGAAACTCTGTTGAAACTCTAATGAACAATTAATGTGCTACCTGTTGAAACTATGATGATTGGCGAAAACCCCAAATGCGAAACTCTGCCAAAACTCTAATAAACAATTAATGTGTAACCTGCCGAAACTCTGTCGATTGATTTCTGGAGGAGTTTCTCCCGCAACCTTACTCTAACCATCACAAATAAATCACATCAGATCATATCTGCACAATAACAAATTATATGTAAGATGTGAAATTGTTACAAAGCAAGTGTGCAATATTATTCACTAGGGAGTGGCTGTATATATATTATAATGAAAGATAATTTAGAATGTATAATCTATAAATATACATGTTATCATTTTTGACTCAGGTATAATCTCATAATACATTAACAAACATATTAATAACAAGTTTATCCAAGATAAAATTCTTGTTTTTTTTATTATTATAAGCATTTTTATGTTTATAGATGGATGATAAAATACAAAATGAGATAAAAATAAAATGTTAAACAATGTATGTAAATGCTTGAATATAAAAATTCTACAATAGAAATGATGGTAACTTTGATCACAAAGAAGATTTAATTTAAAGCATATGATTAGAGATGTTCCAATGCGCACTGCATTGTGCGCACATAATTTTTGAAATCATGCTCATGTAATTTTTTTTGTACATAGTAATAAATGTAACACAAAAAAAATTAAATTTTTTTTTAGAAAATTTTGGTCACAATTACTACATTATAAACAACATACTGGCTTGTTTGACAATTCTTTAGCATGGTCAACTATAGATGAAGCAGATTTGGTAACATGGTGTAAAGGGAATTTTTTATTAGTTGCCCCTGAACTAACTAATCTTGCTGTACAAATTCTTTCAATCCTACATCTTCAGCAGCACCCGAAAGAAATTGGCCTGCATTCTCATA